AATTAACGCGGTTTTTTTTACGCGGGACGTATCACCCGCGTAAAAAGCGACTCCAGTGTATAACCTACTTTAATTAATTATGATTTATTAATTTATGCATGAAGTTATCGATTTAAATAGTTGGAGATGCTTAACGTCAAATATCAGACTTAAAGTGAACATTTTATACGATAGATGAGGAGATGAAAGTATAGAGTTGAGTACAGTAGTGTGAAAATTGTATATAGAAAGTAGAAGTAGAAAGCGAGCAAAGGACATTTTTTAGGAAGTTACGAATCAGGTATAGCAAACAGGTAGATGCTTACGTCAGATGGCGATTTGAGTGTGAAACAATTGATAGAACTGTTTCCGCACATCGGAGGTACATGAGCAAATCGGCGATCATCCCTTTTGCCAGTGTGGCAGGGTGAAACACCCCTCACTATTTCTCATCAATGGATGAGTTTGGTAAAAGGGATGCTCTACCCGATTCGTACCTTCCTCAAAATTGTTTTAAGCTCGCTTTTTTACTTTCTATATACAATTTTCTCACTACCGTAGTACAACGGAACTATCAACTCTATGCTTTATTAAAATGTCCACGTTCAGCATCTCCAACTACGAAAATAATCTATTTCCAAGAATGTTGTCCATTGTTCTGCAAAGAATTTCCAGAATGCAATATTATTTTTGTTAAGCTTGTTTTAGAAGCAAAGTTTAAGAGGAGTGGAATAATTCTTAAAAAGTTCTTGAGATCATCTGAAATATTTTTATAAAATATTCTTAGCGAATTATCAAAGTTATATCAAAATTTTAAAGATTTTAATGGCAGAATCAAATTCATGATCTTCGATAAAAAAAGCTGTCGTTGTTATGATCTTTAACCTTATTTAACAGTAACATTTTAAAAAATCTTTGAGAAAATCCGAAATTGCACTTCAAATGCTTTTAATAGCAGATTCCGTTGAGAGTTTCGATACCATTAGAAGAATTCATGAAATGCCATTTTAAGTTCCATGACAAAAACAGTTTATTTCAATATTAAACCTTATTTGAGTTTCTGAGTCATCATATAAATGTAACTATTGGTTACTTATTTATTATTCAAAAGTCACTATTTGGTCACTATTTCCGTAATTTTAGTCTAGACTTTAGACTACTATTATATCGCATCAGCACTACCAGCCCTGAGCGTACGGTTAAGCGTGTTATTCGGATAAAAATTTACTGTGGAGCTGGGAGACATAAAGAATATATTTTAACAACGAGATTAAACACAAGTGTTTCATATGCTAAATTAAATTCAATAAATTGCCATGCTGATGACAGGACATAGAGTCAAATGAAGTAAGATACGGATAATGAACTTGTTGAAAGTTTTGCAGCGATTGAGTAAGCATCCCAATGATGAAAATGTATACCAGCAGGGCTGTCATCTGATCACTCAATGTGGGCAATGTACTGATTTTCTGAAATAAACAAAGTGAGAATCAAGCAAATACAAAGTTTGCTTGTCTTTCACCCTGCGCAAGTGTAAAGCAGCGGATAAGAGAAGACAGAAACACACAGAGAAATAATCAGGCTTGATGGAGCCTCGCTCGCGAGTTTGAAATGAGCGTAGCATTTTTCTGATGAGTAGAATTCCTACTGCCAAATCATTCCACTGAGTTTCAGAGCTTGAGAGCGAAGGGGGATAAAATGAGAGTGAGGTTTGCCGCCACTCGTGTTCATGTTTTCTATCGCACGTTCTTACTCTCACTCTGGGTGAACTCTGAGCTTCTGCGGCGAATAAAAAAGTCATCCGGAGTCTCGAAAAGCGCACCTCACGTTGTTAAATCATCCTCTCGCTGAAGTTCACTCTCCCTCTCTATCGAGGAGTTTTTGTTTACTTCTTCCATATTCCTGCCACCACTCACTCGAGGTGGGGGCTGGCTAAACTCGCAGGACGAGAGTGTTCTAAAACCTCCAGTGAGTTTCAGCAAGCCTGGAAATAACGAAAGCTCAATGTGGAGCCATGGCTCCGACGCAAAGAGCGCCACTCAGTGTATGGTTGCAAATGGGAAACCCAGCAAAAATACAAAATTCTTCATCGTTATGCCCTTCTTCATCTCCTATGCATGCAGTCGTGGCAAGCAAAGTCTGCAAAGAATTCAAAGAAGACATTAGGGCTTGTTGTTTTATATTCGCTGCCTTCGCCGCACGGAGTGTTCCACTCATTGTGTGGATCGTTTTCTCTCAGATTAGTTGGAAAAGAGTGTGCGATGTAAATGGGAGAACCACACACTCTTTGTCGAGTGTTGTGAGATGCATACACAAAGTTGCTTTGCTAACGCTCTGAGGTGCTTTTCACCCCTGCCTATTGGGGTGATCAAACCTCGTTCATTCTATGATAATTTTATCGCATTAATTCGTAATTGCAGACTTACGAAATAATGCGATAAAATTATCATAGAATCATAGATTATTTTATATTATGAAGATAAGTTCTTCTAGATTAAAAGATAACAAGCTAAGTCAATCATGCTCATACTCATTAAAAGATAGCAAGCTGATTGCTATCGAGATGGTTGCACACATCGCTATCAGTCGTAGTATCATCCCAAATACTGCTTGAACAGAATTGTGAATAATTATAATTATTTAAGGCATATCAGTGATTTATTTCTCTTCGTTCTCACAACACTGAAACAACCATGGACGAATATTCATTCTAATCTACAATTCCACATACTATAAATAAAATTCTGATGTGAACATCTTATCGATCAGAATAGATTTTGCATATGTTTAGGAACAACTGAATTTTTGGGCCAAAGGAGCAACAGGATCGAGGAGTTAACGTTTCGCACACCCTTCCCGTGACACTTATGAGGGGTCGTAGAGTTTTCTGCATCTCTCTTAAGTAAGTGTCGGGCTAACATTCCTCTCCCATCCCCACCAGATGCAAGGACGTGGCCAGGGCAGCTCTTGTCTATTGGAGGGAGACTCATCCTATATCTAAGAGGTAGTGGTTAACCACAAATTACTATCTAACAGCAACGGATGAAGGTGGGTCTCCTCCTTAACAACAGGTTGGATCTCTTACCACCTACGACATTATGCAACCTGTTTTAAGCCATGTTATTTTTATTTTATTGTTGAAGATGATTTTTGAGTTTTAAGGCAATTTTTACGTTGTATTTTCGTGTTTGGCTTTGTAGTCTTTAGAAGTGAAACACCTAAATGCTTTCTAATTCCATCGTTTTGGTTTGTATTGCATCTGTTTCATAGATGCCAAATTTGTAGGAGTTGTCTTACCAAGTGTTAATTTTGGTTTTAGTAATAATTTCTACGCAGATTGGGCGCAAAAATTAGTCACAATTATATCTGAATTAGGAAACTACTTAACTTTGAAAATTGTGATTGTTTTAAAAGTCAAGTCGCTTTTCAGAGAGTAGGGCTTTGATCTAATTTTGGGCCTACCCTTTGCCTCTATTTCTAAATTAGGCCTAATGCATTGAAACGCCATTCAAACGTCATTGAATTCACTGCGGCCTATCGGATGAAGATAAAAATGGATTCGGTCGGAGCGCTTCTTTTGTTTTTGAGAAAAATAGGTGTTGCGGAGTCAGCGTAACTAGGAAACAAATTTCGGGACGGGATATACTACAATAGATCAAATTACTGGTCGCAGTGATGTTATGTCCCGAACAGAGAAAAAAAAAACCAAATTTCATCAATTTATTCACGAAGAGAAAAGAAAATTATAAAATTCCTGCGGAAGAAACCTTGGGTATAAACAATACGATCCTACAGGCTATGTTCTGACTTACTTTTAGTGTTTCTAGTCTCGTACTACTCTCTCACAACAATTATAGCGTTCATATGTCCTGGAGCTAACGATCTGTGTAGGTGTACATAATATTTGTTGAGTGTTTTACCATATAAGTAGATTTAAATAGCATTAAAAAGTTTCTCACCTGGTAATACTGTGATAATTAGCATTACCCGGGCTTCATTTGCCTGTTTCTCAGCGCTTCGCGATCTCCTTTGTCTAGATTTAGTATAGTATACAATAGCTTAAGACAAATTCACTTTTCTTTCTTTCTTCTGTCCTTACCTAGATTTAGTTTCTTGTATTACTTTAAGCACTTTTCTAGACTTTAGGATTATACAAATTTAGCTTTAAGTTAGGCTAATTAACTGTTTATTTAGTAATAAATAATCTCCGTAGAGGAATCAAGTTCACTTGGTTTTTACGTTCACTTCAGTACAATGGCCACCTTATTGATGCTTTTCTCCTGCACCGCAGCTGTTGACCTTTTTTGTGACGTTTCCAATCCCTTGTTCAGCGCTGGGTGTGGTGCACAGTGGTACAGCGTCGAATAGGGGCACAGGTGACTTAGTTTCCGACGGGGCGCAATCAACAATAGGTTAAACATTAATATCACGCGTTCTCATTGACTTCATTCGGTAGCTTTTGAACTAAAGTATCGTGCCAAACGCATAATTGGCTTGTTAACTCTGAAACAGTTGATTTATTTGATGTGTTCTGCTCGATAGGCCCAAAGTGGGCGATTATGCCGAAATAGTGCTCTACCCTATGTATAACATACTCAGAAAAACAAAGACTCTCCGACCGATCTTTCAACGACATAAAGACAAACAATGTAAACTCAGTTCTGGAAATATCAGAATCTTTAATTAATCGGAAGAGCTTTGTTAACTTTAACCTCAACTACGCAATTACACTACTATCCACTGCAAGTTTCACGAACAGCACCGCACATAGCAAAAGTTTTAGACAAACAAACCGCAGCGACGATTACTGTAGTGTGTTTCTGCAAAAATAGAAACTCATTTCAGTAGCGTGTCTAGCCTGCTCCTCTGCCCGGTCGTCTCCTTCCCCAGGCAGCTGGTTGCTGTAAACTTAAACTGCAACATGACTTTATCTCCCCGATCTCACACTCCACCAGAAAACTTGTGCTGTAACACAGATAACTAATTGCATTTTCCTTCTTTTTTTCTCTCTCTTATCGCAGGTCGATCTGGAGCCAGAGCTACACATCAACAGCAACCTGGATGCGGAAGGTTCAGAAACCATCCCCCTGTCAGAGGAAATCGTCAACCCGGGCCGGATGAAGCTCGGTCCACAGGACTTCGAACTGAAGAAAGTGCTTGGGAAAGGCGGCTACGGAAAAGTCTTCCAAGTAAGTTTTGTGCGTGTATGTGTGTGTGTGGGATTGACAGCAGCGCTTTGTCACTCTGTCCAACCGCTGCAGCTAGTACACAGTGGTAGAGAAATGAAAATTATGAGGAAATACGTATTTAGACCCAGAAATTGCAACTTTACCAGCACAGTGTCTTGTGTGAATTTGTTGCTTATAATAAGGTCTTCGTTTTGATGAACTTTTTAGGGTGGTGCTAAAAATGTCAAAAATAGAATTTTTCTTTTTTTATTTTTTATTATACCATGATGAAACCTTCTGTTTCAGCAGTTTTTATAATTAATGACAGGGTATCCCTAAAAAAAATAGTTTTTATTAGAAATTTGTCTTCTACAACCGTCATAATGTTCGACAAAGTTGTAGAACTATTTATTTGAAGCAACTTTGCTCAAGAAACCACTTTCTCGTGTGTTGTATCAATTTTTAATATAAGGCGGTCTTTATTCATCGAAATTAAGGCCTTATTAAAAGCAACAACTTAACAGAAGACAGCTGGTAAAAAGTTGCAATTTCTAGCTTAAAATATTTATTTCCTCCTAATGTTCCTTCCTGGACCACTGTGCAGTGTAGTTGTTGTTAGTTTAATTTAAGTTACGATCGTTGTCACATTCAAGGACACGCCATTGGAAGAAATAGGATGAGTAACAGAGAATCGCAATAAATTACACAATCCGCGCGTGGCACCCTGCTGGCGACGGAGTGAAGATGCACTCATCCAAATGCGCTTGCACAATTTCGTATTACGTGTGCGAGATGCATTTTTTTTCACTTTGTCAAGTGCACTATCACGTTAGTCGTAATGTTATTATTGTAACCAACATTACGAAAAAAATCATAAGAACTAAAACATTATAAAGAAAGAAATAGATAAGGGTTAGTAATTTCCATTTTATTCCACTACCTTAATTGCTTATCCTTGACAGATACGCGTATTTCGACTACAATTGTACTAGACATTGTAGATGAAATACGCGTATCTGTCAAGGATACGCAATTAAGGCAGAGGAAATAAATAGAAATTATGAATCCTTCTCTATACAGGTATTGCTCTATAGACGCCCACATCCAACAGGATAGTAAAACATTGTAAAACACCATCTTTCCCTTTAAAATTTATTGGTGGTGTGTGTTTCAGAATGAAGCGACGAGGTTAGCTGATTTTATTGATGCTAAATAAATATTAGAAGTGATAATTATGGCCAACACGCGCTGGCGTGCTTTGTGCAGCAAGTGCCGATTCGCTGCTAGGGCTAGACAGTTCAGTTGGCCGTTAGTAATGGTTTTCAACAGCAAGCTGCTGGTGCCGATGCACACGTTCACTCCATAACTAGTTGATTTCAAGTGGTGTTTATGTATATTGTGTTTGAATCGTGGCGAGAAAGGTTTTTTTACGACCGGAAATTGAATAAAGGCGGCAGAAGAACTATGCGAAAATAGAGTTTATTTTCTTGGAAACAGTTTAGATTGTACGATTTATCGTCGCAAATGTACGGAGCAGTTGTATTTTGTTTGATTTCGCGCCTCTCCATATGTCGATGTCCATCGAAGGGAGTTCCTTTGAAGGGATCATCGAGATGGCGGGAGATTGATATTTTCAGAATAGTAATATATAATCAGCGTACTAAAACCAAAGATGAATACTAAGATGAAACTGTCGGAAGAAAAACTTTCTATTTTAGTGTCTTCTTTCACGGTCCCTTTCATCCAACGAGAACCCCCCGTATTCAAGGTAATTTTGTGGTTTTGCTGCCCCCTCGGAAGAGATGAAATTTTGCGCTCATTTTTATCAAAACAATCACACCAAAATCAAAGATGTCCCATTTTTTAATTACTCGATTAACAACTAATCGATTCTTTTTTGTTCGCTGTGCTGCCATTTTTCCACCAATGAGAGTGCAGCACATGTTTGAAACGATCGGTGATGATCCTGTGGGTTAATGCTTATATCGGCATGATATAACCGATTATAAATAGTTTACTTTTCGGTTCGTTAATCGATTAAACGATTATTCGAATGAAAATCGGACATCACTAGATGAATGTGAAACGTCATTTCGAATATAAGGACCGTTCATAAATAATGATACAATTTGAAAGGGACCGGGGCTAATCACAAATTACGTCTCCATGGTAACTGAAATAAACACGAGTGTTCACCGGTTGCTAAAACGATTCTTGGAGCATAAAGTTTATTTGCATAACACGATCGCTTACTTCAAACTTAGAAAAAAAAGTGACCTAGATCGTTCGACATATGGACAATTATTTGTTTCGAAATGTTTTCTGGGGACAAATATAATCATACTCTATGTCCAGAGAAGTCGAGGAATTTTTCAACCCGAACAATTCCTAGACCCGACCGGGAATCGAACCCAGCCGCCTCCATCATGGTCTTGATTTATAGCTACGCATTTATAAATTGAACCTTAGCTCCCTTAGGAGGGAACTTGATGTATGGCAAGTTGAAGGGATTGTCCAAATCACCGAGATAAGTAGAAATATCGAGTTATAGAACATCGAGAAATGGAGAGTTGACTGTATATATTTTTTTAAACTGCTCTTTGAATGTGTACTGAGGTCCCCAAAAACTGTGCAAAATTTTAACAAATTTGGTTATGTTCTCGATTTGCGGGAGAATATTAAATTTTGTAAGGGAAAATGTATGGGAGACGGAACGATTTGCTTACCAAAAACCCAAATACAGTGAACCCTTTACAACTTGATAGTGAAGGGACCATCGAGTTATAGAATAATAAATTCATACAAAATCGCAATCACAGTTGCAATGAAATTCGGTTTTACTATGGTTCTATAACTCGATATCGAGTAAGTTCCACACGTACCTACAAGCTCATAAACGGCACTAAGGTAATAGACTTTAGAATTTCATAAGGCTCGACTTATGAACGACACATATGAATTTCATAAGCGCGACTTATGAAAGATTTTTGTCTAATATAAGGTAGCCTTTAGCCATTCCATCTTCCAAAAACCGTTGACAAACGTGTGGTCCAGACAAAGGACCCGTAATCTCAACGTCCATGGTGCGGTTCCAGTCTCCTCCGTTTAGTTATTTTTTGTCGACATTATTTTTCATAAGGCAAATCTATAAAATTCATATCGATTTATTGTGGCTAAAATTCATAAGTGGTTCTTATGGAATTCTTACGTTCTGTTGCCTAGGTGGGGGATTAGGGTCATAATGAGTACACGGGGCGAAATGAGCACCTATAATTTTAACAAAACTATGCGATTTTAAACTTATTATTTGTACAATGTATTGTGCAATAGAACTCTTTAAAATATTCAAATATTTTGAAAAATGATACCTGATTTTAAGCTGATGAAACGGTATTTATTTATTTATTTATGACTTAACATCAACAGGCGTCATTGGCCAAAATGATGTAACCTAAACTAAACATGAAAAGTACTAAAACTAAACATCAATAAGTCAATAGTCATCTCGTAAAAAAGGAACATTGCTAGACAAAATAAACTGATTTAGAAAAAAAAAAACGAACTAAATCTCCGGCGAAGCAGCTGGCGAGTCAGGTCAAAGTCAAATAGTGCGGAGACCCTATTGAAGAGTCTCTATAAACCAGCGATTGCGCTGAACATGCTATAAATAGTTCGCTGTATAGGCAGGCGAAGCATTGCATTATTCCGTAGCCTCTGGGTTGAACATTGATGTCAATTTGCTCAAGGAGAACAGGGCAATCGGTGCGTCCTTTCAAAATATCTGCAATTAGCAATGTCCTTGCTGTATCTCTTCGAGGCTCCAGATGGATCAGTTGCAAACGACTTTCGTAGCTAGGCAATCGAAAGGGATCCGTCCACGACAGTTTACGCCCCTTGCCCCTGCCTCAAGGATGCCCCTTAGCTACTCAACCTCCTGTCATCGTAGTCGTTCTGGCCCTGTGGTTGAGAATGGTGAAGGGGTCTTCCAACCTTTTATATCAGGCAAGTATGCGTTTGTTGAAAACAGTTCTTCTCCTGATCCGTCTCTGTGTTCCAGAGTACCACCATGCTCGTTTCGGCTGATCGATCATTCTGCAGACCTCCAACCGACTTCGTTCGACCGCCTTTTGGTGTATTACCAGAACGTTCGTGGCCTGCGAACAAAGATTGATGATTTTTTCCTGACTGCCGTTGACTCTGACTACGATGTCATAGTTCTTACGGAAACTTGGCTCGATGACCGCATTAATTCATCTCAATTATTTGGCAGTCTATTCACGGTATTTCGAAACGACCGCAACCACCAGAATAGTACCAAATCGCGTCTTGATTGCGGTATCCAAACGCCTAAGCTCCTGCATAGATCCTGCTCCAGTTTGCACTTCTCTAGAGCAGCTGTGGGTCAAAATAACGACGCCTCGTAGAACAATCCGGTCCTCCAGACCGGAAATCTGATTCGAGCAGCATTGCAAACCACATCAGTTCGATTGGTACCGTGTTCTCTCGACTAGAACAAAACGACCTAGCTCTGATATTTGGTGACTACAATCAGTCTGGGCTCTCATGGAACGTTCCTGCAAACGATCTTCCTAGCATTGATGTTCTTCGCTCGAACATGCCCGCATCATGCTGTGCTCTCCTTGATGGTTTCAACCTGCATGGCTTAACGCAACACCAATCATCCTGCGTTGGAAGTTTCCATCAACCTATCTGTTCCTGTTCGCTACGATAACCCTCCTGTTGATGTACATGAGCTCGACTTTCGTAGAGCAGATTTCGTCGCGCTGAGTCACTCGCTTACCCAGGCAGATTGGCAGTTCCTTGACACGTGTTCATCTATTGATGAAGCCGTCAACTACTTCGCTGAGGTCGTTGGCCGGGTAATAACTGATTCTGTCCCATTGAGGAGACCCTCTCCCAAACCCGTATGGTCCAATGCTCGACTACGAAATTTGAAGCGTCTGAGATCGAAGGCCCTCCGTAAATACTGTCGTACTCGTAACCCATTCACCAAACGATTA